AATTTTCTGAGATTGATCTCAACATTTTTGATTTTTTTCTAGCAAATCTTTGACTTTTGAAACTCAAAAATGTTCTCGTTTTTTTCTCGAAAATTTCTGAGCTTGATCTCAAAGTCTGAGCTTTTTTTGGCGGAAATTTACCCCTCCATTTTTGTTCTATCTGCATTGGCCTAATCATATTTCATTTTATTTTAGTCTTGCCTAAATAACTCCTGAGCTTTTTTTTTTAAATTCTTATTTGAAGATTTAAAGAAAATCTATGCATTCACATTTATAGAAATGTTTGATTTTCAGAAAAGTTCTAGTTGTTTTTCTTTCATTTAAAAAAATAAATCTTAAAGATATGGATTTTTTTTTAAAAAAATGGACAGACTGCACAGTGTGTGCTGTCAGAAGCTGCTCCATGGTTCTGCATGGAGGCCCAGCCTGAGGGTCGCTCAGGAGGCCCAGGCTGCTGTTTCATACGACAAGTGAACCAAACCGACAACCTCATGTACTTCAGTGGACATAAGTCCACACAATGAAAATACCCCGACGCTAAGCTTTTACTCACATACAACCTGCTATTCAACTAAAACACAAACACCTGTTTGACGGACAAACGTAAAGCAAGACAAGAAGACCTGCATTAATCAGATGATGTAAATGTTAACGCCGTGAAACTGATTCTGTATTTAAGCAGCTTTTAGTTTCATTTCAACATTCAGCCGTCTTGAAATCATAAACATAACTGGACAAAATATCGGACAGCTTGGACGCGACAGAGACTGGACATTTAGATGAGACAGAAACTGTTTGCAAACGTTTTTATGGTGCTTGACTAGGAGACAAAAAATAAAAAAAACTTAATGAATACAGTAAAATAGTTGCTTGGAAATAATAATTATAAGACATTTGTGTAATTTAAGTTTTTGTTTGTTTTTTTCGTTTTTGGAAAGGTTTTAAAAATGTTTAACTTTCACACTGGACCAAAAAGTCATAATCTCTGGTAGAATAAACATTTGGATGAAATAATTCATTTTTTATTTTGGTAACACTTTATTTGAAGGGGGTGAATAAGACTGTCATGACACTGTCATAAACATGACAACACATGTCATGAACATGAATAAGCCTTCATGAATATTTATGACTGTTGTCAAAAAGCGTCATTTAGTAAATTATGACACTTTTAATACAAAGTTGACATTATTCAAAATGTCTTTGTTATGACAACTTGACATTAACCAAGAAATCATTGCTGTTTAAACTTTACCTTTAATAACATAAAGTTACCTAATTTTTAAAGTGCAATCAGTAAAACTTTTATAACAAATTTATATCAGTAATGATTTCTTTGTTAATGTCAAGTTGTCATAACAAAGACATTTTGAATAATGTCAACTTTGTATTAAAAGTGTCATAATTTACCGAATGACGCTTTATGACAACAGTCATAAATATTCATGAAGGCTTATTCATGTTCATGACAGGTGTTATGACATGTTTATGACAGTGTCATGATGGTGTCAAATAAAGTGTTACCTTTATTTTTTTATTTTCCTGTTGGTTGGTCTTAGATTTTATTTCAAGTATCAATAAAAAAAGTCTTTAAAAGACTTGAATTTAACTTGACTTAAGCTGGAAGAACTAAAGCTTAGCAAGTTCACTTCATATCTTTATATTTAAGAAAAACTAAAGAACAAGAATAATGTACTTTTAAAAATTGTCGACTCATGTATAGTACACTTAATCAGCAAGAAAATGTTTGTACACTTTAAGTTTTGTATCATTATTCTGTTCTATGAAGTTTTAAGAATAGTTGCGAAAAAGAATTTGTTCACATTCAACACACCTGGTAAAATAAAAGTTAAATAAATCTAAAATAAAAACGAGGCTGTTGCACCTTTACATGTGTTTGCTCTGGACTGCTGAAGGTGAATGCGTTCACGTCTAACTGAAGGTGACTTCTGGTCCACATGAAGCACAAAAACAGTGTTGCAGAGAAATGTCTTATTGACCAGAGGGGAGTTCTTTGAATTTATGACGTGCAACTGGTTTGGAGAAAAGAGTTTCCAGAATCATAAAAGAGAAATGGCTGACTGAGTCTGGCACGGCGCCCTGGGCGCCCTTGGAAATGTGAAGGTTTATCCAAAGCAATCTGAGCTTTTAAAGTTTATTCAATTGATTTTCAGCATTTCAAAAAAAAAAAAAGAAAAAAAAAGGAAACAAACAAACGTCTACAGTTACAACATTCCCAAACTGATTTTATCTGCTGTCAAAGGCTGACGTCTGCTAGCATTCAGTTACTGTTTAACATCAAAATGGGATTTTATGAGCAGAAAACAGCTGGTGAAAGCTCAAGTCAAACCTTTACAAGGAAAAATGAAGCTGATGTGGCGGTTTTATGTAAGATGCATCTGCAGAAAACCAAAATAAACAACAGTGAAGTTACATTGAACAGCCAGTAATGGTTTGAAAAGACTTCTAGTCACCACAAACAGACCAACTTTGATGACAGAGGATCAGCCTGGAAGGGACTCTGGGATTTGCAGAACAGACACAGCTCTGGAGAAAAAATAAGAGACCGCTCTCTGATTTTACTCTTTATAGGAATATGTTTGAGTAAAATGAAGTCTGTTCTTTTATTCTATGAACTACTGACATGTTTCTGGAAAGTCCAAGCAAAAATTTTGCATTTATTTGCAGAAAATGAGAAATGGTCAAAAAAACGAAAAAGATGCAGCGCATCCAGGCCTCAAACAATGCAAAGAAAACAAGTTTATTTAAAAACAACAATACTAAAGTTTTGAAAACTCAGGAAGAGTTCAGGAATCAGTATCTGGTGCAATAACTGAGGTTTTCAATGGGGTTCAGTGCAGTGGATAATATCTTTTCCAGAGCTCTAAGCTCTGATTGGACAACGTTACCTACTGCAGATTCCATGCAGACATCAGTATTCAGGTTGTCTGCACATTCTTAAAATGTCTTAATTCATGTATCTAAAATTAAGGCCTTAAATAAGTTAATCGCAGGTCAGGTCTGTTTCATCTCGTATATGTAACATTTTCTGTCAGGTGAAAGTTTGAGTTGTGACTTAAGGCTAATGCTAACTAGCTGCTAACATACCCTTGCTAGTTTGTTGGCTGCCTTTTTTGTTTTTGCATATTTCAGTGGAAATTTGTCTGCGGTTGGCTGGACGATGTTCGTCTTCACTTCTGCTGTCAACCTGTACAATACTGACAACAAAGCTTGGCACTACATGCTGTTGGAGAAGCACAAAGCAGAGCAGAAACTTCACAAGCTTTTGCTATGCTTGTTTGTAATGCATCATTCCATAGATTTATTGCTTTGAGTTTTTTGGCCTTAAATTTAAGTCAAGGTTGCTTTAAACTTGACTTGAAGACCTGCAGAGGCCCCGGTATCAGCGGGACAATCTGACGGTCACTGGAGGTCAGCTGTAAACCGGAGTGAACGTGGAATCGGCACGTTTCCACCGATAGCGTGTGAGTGAAGCTTATCTGTCTCAATTTGTGCCCTCTCAGCACTTTTTCCCAATGTGGCGCATAAACAGCAGGTGGTCCCATTCAAACAGTGTGTGGAATTATGGATGCCGTTATCTGGAGTAGTAAAATATTACACAAGCCCTTCCTCTTGCCTACACAGCCCTTTGAGTCCTGATCAGTCACTCTGACTAAGCAGTCTGTAGGTCAGCCGGAGGCCAAAGGTCAACCGCTATGCTAATCTGAACAGTTCACACACATTCAGCAAACTTGCAGTATGGGGTAAAGGGTATCCCCAAACCCCACCCCAGCCTTCCAGTCCAGAACCAAGGTGCATAAAGAATAAATATTACTTCTAATGCTCTGAACTGATCAGGATTTAGAACTTTGATGTGAGTCCTTCAGGTCTTTACTGCTGCTTGGCTAATATGTTTGTGTTGTATTCCATTCAAGTTGTTGTGGAGAAAAATAGATGATGGTCATTTTGACACTGATATTTAATATCTTTGCTATGGGAAGTCTTTTAAAAACAGTTTCATGAGATCTATTCAGAATAGATCTCATGAAACTGCTAGTTAGCGCTCATTATTAGCCATCAGAGGAAACGTTGGCGTCTTATTGGGGCGTTGAAGCAACATGCTCTTTACTTTGGAGCGACTACGCATATGTACGGCGTTTTGGGGGAGTCATGGTGGCGATTTTTTTTTTCAAGGCATAGCTGTGGGTTCAACACCTTAGAAAGACAAACTCAGTGTTTATGAACTTAGTGATGCTCTGAGACCCCCGGTGGAGAAAGCTGAACATCCTCCAAGGAGGCCAGTGCCTCAAATAAGCACGTTACTGCTGCATGCTAGCCGGCATGATGGGAACAAAGGGTTTCCGTTGCAGTTTTGTTGAAGTACACCAATTCCAATATGGCTGAGAGAAAAAAAAAAAATAAAAACATCTTAGTGCAAAAACTTTTTATGGAAAAAGTGATTTTTTTGTAAATAGCCGTGTTTCCATAAAGCAACTTTATTTTTGTAATTCCAATTTATGGTCAATGGAAATTCAGCTAGTGACCATGACGCATCACAGGAATATGGAGTGTTTTACTAAAGCCAGGAAGCGATGTCGGTGCTGTGGTTGTTTTTTTTTTTTTTTTTTCATTGTTTTTTACAGGACACATACAATATATCTAATATATTGTAACATCATCGGTTATAATGATATAACCGATGAATATCTGTTATCAGTTATAACATTATTGTTAGTATTGGTAAAAGATATTGTCATATCAGGGCATTCTAAAACAAAATCTCGAGAAAAGGAACAGTTGTGGTTCAAGGTGACTGCAGTCAGAGAGTATCGGAGGAACCGATGGGTCCAACATGGCAGCCAGTACTTACATCAGCCGTTTGTCTCTCTGTAAACAATCTTATCTGCTTCCATTGTAAATCCCGCGATAAAGGAAGCAGTCTTCAGGGACTTATCAAGTCCACGGGGAGATTATAACGGTGTTTTTTATCGATCGGACAGGGAAAGTCGTACCCGTTCAAAGGCTCCTTCCCTCCCATGTGGAACCCCATCGTCTACATGGACTTCAACAACCTCTTCAGGACGATGGACGAGATGGGCCAGGAGGTGACGCTACACTCAGTCTAGATCATTCACATTGCCGTTTTGCTGCTTCGGCGTCCCTCTGCAGTTTTCTCATGCTGCCATCTGAATCTGTAGATTCCCAGAGAGGCGCCCTGGAGAGCTCCCCATGCCTTAGAGTGGGACAACATGACCATGCAGGAGCTGTTCAACAAAATCTGCTGGACCAGGTGACAGAACTGAAGATTTCCAGTTTAGCTTTGTTTTTCTTTCTTTTTAAAAAAAAAATCTCTCAGCTTTTTAGCATCCTAAAACATGCCTGTGGTTTGTAAATGCCACAGAAATAAAATCATACCAAATCTAAATTGTTCCTAACAACACATGCAACAGCGTCACCAAGTCGGTAACCTCATTTTCCCCTGCTTTAAAAAAATTATAAGATCATTAAAAATGTAAATTATGCAAACAGTTGCAACCAGATATTTAAATACAGTCAAAAAGAAACCAGATTTTCTTTTTTTTTCAACCAGATTATCAGTCAGAATATCAGACACATCTGAGTTGAAAGGTCACACAGACAGAAAGAAGTTTTCACTCCTGGAGGAAATAGGATGAAATGTGAGAACGTCATCTAAACTGTACAAGGATGCGCCTTGCTGCAGGAGGGACTGGTGCGCTTCACATGTAGAAACCTCATGAGGAAAGAACATTATGTGAAAAAATAGACACAACATCTCTAAACATCAGCCAGGAGGCTGAAGCTGGGGTCCAGCTGATGTCTCACACAGAGTAATTTATCTGAAATGGGGTTTTTTCTGTTCATGAAAATTGTAGCTAATGCAATTTTCATGAATTAGCTACAATTTTCAGAAATTGCAGAAATTGAGAATATGACGTTAGACCAAACCGAAAAGCATCTTTAGAGGTGGAAATGTCAACCGTGAAAAAAAAGCTTATTACTTCAATAAAAACCAGTACCATGCGCTTCATGCATTTTTTTCCGTTCCCCTGTTTCCCTCCACAGTGCAGTTCGCCGCTTCGCCACCCTGTTTGTCAACGTGAACGTGACCTCTGAACCCCACGAGGTGTCGGCCCTGTGGTTCCTCTGGTACGTGAAGCAGTGCGGGGGGACGATGAGGATCTTCTCCACCACCAACGGGGGGCAGGTGTGTGTGCAGGGCCGAGTTTCTGTCATCCAAATGGAAGACCTCCAGGTTAAAGGGGCGGCATCATGTCAAATCGACTGTTTTTAAGCTGTACATGATGTTATAATGTTATTTCTTGATCAAAACATTACCATAACTCTTTCATGCATGTTTGAGAAAACATTTAATCTCCCGTGGCAACTATTCATGGGGTTGCCTAAACGCTTGAGCTGCCCAAGCTCCGCCTTGTCCACACAGCTCCTCCTCAGAGCTGCAGTTTCCTTCCGCACTCGCTCCTTTAGACTAGCGGCAGCAGCAGTTAGCAAACGCCTGGTGGAGCTGAGCATTCGCTGATCTTATCTTAGGAACTAGCCTTCAGCTCCTAAGAACGATGTTAAAGGCTTAATGGGGAAACCGTTGTGTTGGAAAGAGCAGGAGCTTCTTAAAGAGACAGAAGCCCAATTTCAAGGCGTTATATAGCAAAGTCACATGTCTTTTAAGTCTCATTTGATATCTACTGAATTTTTTATAACTGACAATAATATAGTTCTTCATTGTGCTAATTTGTACAATATGTTTGGAAAATGCATAAAACCGCCTCTTTAAATGAAGTAAAATCTGAATCTGTTTGTTTACAAATTGACGCACATCCTAAATTTGGGCATTATGAAATCCCTCCGCCTCTCCAGATGGAAGTACAGTGATGCAGAGCGTCCGGAGCAGACAGAGCCATGCTGGTTTTCTGGGTCTGGGGCCGGGGGCCGGGGACTGCTAGTGGCAGATCCTGAATTAGTCTTGGTGTTTTTTTTTGTGTGCGCTGCATCAGCTGAGGTTCATTACAGGCCTAACAAAGGCTGCTTTCTTGCGGTGCTAGGGGAAGTTCATTCCCCTCCAGAGCTCAGTGACCCCTCGTTGCCATGACGACCGGGGCCTGGGACTGTGTCTCTGCAAACTGGTGACGCTGACATCGTTTTACAGTTTTCAAGTTCTAAAACTTACACAAAATGATGCATGGAGGACAGCGGAAGCAGTCACTGCAACTTTAAAAAAAAAAAATCTGTTTCAAGTATTTATTTTTTTTAAACCGTGATGATTAATGTTTCGCTCCGTTCTCTGCCAGGACCGATTCAGGTTCAGCTTTTAATTTAGTCGCGTCTGACTGGCGAATTGCACACAAAGGCCAGAATGGAATCTGCCCAACGCGGTTTAGTGATCGGGGAAGGCAGAGACGCCGATGCCAAGCACAACGAAAAGGTCGCTGCCTAATCAATGTTGTGAGTCAGAGCGTTGGCAGCATCTCGTCTCTCTCCAAGCCCCCCAACCCCAAAACGAAGACAGTCTTCATGATTTAGCAGTTGCTGGCCGGAGCTCTGCACACGCAAATTTGCAGCGAAGGGAAAGGAGGAGGAGTGAAGATGGTAGTGCAGAACATCTGGGAGCAAAACAGATTTGATCAGATCCTCCACTGAACACGGCTTTGATCTGCAGGAAGAGCTGATCTCTGTGAGACCGGACAGAGGGGCGAGGATTTCACTGAGGCTTAAGAGAACAGTTTGGATCTGCACTGTGAAGAATCTGTATTGATTGTACAGCAAGAAATGCATTAGAATTACAGTAAAATCAACAGAATTACAGTAAACTAGTAAGAATTGCAGCAAAATTAACATAATTCTGCAAAACGAAGTGTTGTAGTAAAACTAACAAAATTCCAGCAAAAAAAATGTGTAAAAAAATCCCACAATTTTAACTCCTCAGAATAATTCTTCCACACATGAATCCCTCTAATGGAAGCGCAGAGGTTTTTAAGATTCGCCTTGAACTTTAGTTTTTCTAAACTTTCCCTCTTAGGTTGTTTATTTCATTTCAAACTACCTCTGCACACACCTGACAAACATGTAAAGTCCAAGGTGTGTAGATGTTTTATCCGGCGTCGGAACACACACACACACACACACACACACACATACACTCTCTCTCTGACTGGCGTTCTCTTGGTCGTCTGGTGAAGGAGAGGAAGTTTGCGGGCGGCTCCAGTCAGATCAGCGAGTGCATGGCCAAAGAGCTGGGTGACAGGGTGAAGCTGCAGTCGCCTGTCTACAGGATCGACCAGACTGGAGACGTGGTCGTCGTGGAGACGGTGAACAAAGAGACTTACACGGTGAGTGGAACCAAACCGCGGGGCGGCGGGAGTCGAGGAATCGACATGAATCGCAACTTCAGTGAAGATGGGACGTCGTGTAAAGCAGAACACGATGATTTATGAATCATTTTCAACCTGAGTTCAGGTGAACTCACTACAAAACAAGACATTTAGAGAGCCAACTGATAAACTTTATTGTTTTCTTTGAAAATATTCTCCTATTTGCATTTTGATCTCTGCAGCACGGTTCAAATCAGTTGGACAGAACCATGTTTACCTTCTGGCTAACCTCAGTAAGCTTTTGGGAACTCATTGTTGAAGCTTGTGATACAGCTTCAGTTGCTCAACAGCCTGATTTTGCGATTCTACAAACCTTTTCAAAAGTCTGGGCGATCAGCGCTGGTTCGGAGAGATTTCTCCAGGTTCTCTGAGTCTTTTGGTGACACTTTTGAGCTGCAGACGATGGAATCCTTCAACTCCCTGCAGTTGCACTTTGAGTAACGTTGTTCCTAAAACGTTGGAACCGTTTGCTTGTTCTCAAAGCGATGAACGTCTTGTGAACGACTGAGCCTCTGGAGGACGCTCCCTCTGTTCCCGTCCTGGCTCTCTCACCTGTTTCCAGTTAACAAACGAGAGATTTTTCAGTATTATTCAACTTCCCCAGTTTCTTGTTCCCAACATTTTTAGAGCGTGTTGGCGGCGTCAAATTCCAGATGAGTGAATATATTTATTGCATAACTGCAATAAAGTTTCCCCTTTGAACATTAAATATCTTCTCTTTACAGTGAGTTCATTTGAATGCAGGTCGAAAGGAGCTTTAAAATCATCATGTTCTGCTTTTATTCATGTTTTATACAACGTCCCAACTTGACTGGGGTTGGGGTTGCCTCATTTCAACTACATGTAGCTTTTAAATGATTTCATTCTGTTGCTGTTTGACCCAGACCTTTAGTTTTTTGATCACTTTCCATTCCTCCCTCTCTTTCTTTTTATAACTTTATATGTATTAACATTGTAGTTAAACTTGGCCGTACTGTGTAGCTTCAGAGCACAAACCTCAGAGGAGGAGAGAAGATCTGTGTTTTGCTGCCCTCTGCTGGCCGTATCTGTCCTGACTTGTTCTGCCGGCTTTTCTCCGCTTCAGGCCAGATACGTCGTCGTGGCAACGCCACCCGCCCTCAACCTGAAGATGCACTTTAACCCCGAGCTGCCGCCCCTCAGGAACCAGCTGATCTACCGCGTGCCCATGGGCTGCGTCATCAAGTGCATGGTCTACTACAAGGAGAACTTCTGGAGGAAGAAGGGTACGGAGAGCGGGACGGTGGGGGGCGGCGCCGCATCCCGGCCGGGGGGCGGCGGGTTCTAATGTTTGGTCTCGTCAGGTTACTGCGGCACCATGGTGATCGAGGAGGAGGGGGCTCCTATAGGCCTGACTCTGGATGACACAAAGCCTGATGGGACCGTCCCCGCTATCATGGGGTGAGCCGCCAGTTACAACCAGACCAAAATGTTCGAGAGAGAGAGAAACGGAGGAAAATACTCCCTATCAAACATGACTTAAAAGAAACTGGAGTGTTTAATTTAAAGCCTTGAAAGGCTCTTTAAGACCTTTCTGAAACTCTGTCTTCAGAAAGTCATCAGAACATGGCTCCTCTATTAACCCTTTAACTACATTTCACTAAGCAGTAGCTCCTCTAATGAAGCTCAGCTGATGCTCAGCTCCACCATGTGCTAATTGCTGCTGGCTAGTCTGAAGGAACTGAGTGGGGGGTTCATGGGTGAGGATTGCTCTGTGAGGCGAAAGCTTGGAAGCCTTGTCTGGAAGGTGGAGTTAGGTCAACCAAGTGTTTTGCACAGTTGAATGGTTGCCATGGAGACTAACGGATTTTTTTTTTCTAACATGCCTGAAAGAATCAAAGCAACACTCCAGGTTTATTTTGATGAAGGAATAAAATCATGACATGATACAAAGGTTTAAAAAGTCCATTTTGCATAATGCTGCCCTTTAAATCCATTTGTATATATTTTGTTAAAGGGTTAATAGAGGAGCCATATTGTGAAGACTTCAGTTTCGGATAGAGCAGGAGTTTTTTAAAGAGACAGAGGCCCAATTTCAAGGCATTAAATAATGAAGTCAAAATTTTTTTTAAGTCATATTTGATATTTACAGCATTTTCTTTTTTTATATAATAACTTAAGATAACATGTCACTGTGCTATAAAATGGCACTATGTGCTTGGATAACGCCCCGTTAATAATTTGAAACATTAAAATGACAAAAAACAAAAGTAATCAGTAAGGGGCAGTTAGTTTTTTACAGGCCCGTTTGTGCCCAAGCTGCGCTGAGGAAGGTGGCGCTGTCAGATCTAATTAATTATCAACAAATAAATCTGCATCTCTCCCTCTTCCTGCAGGTTCATTCTGGCTCGCAAGTGCAGAAAGCTGGCAGACCTGAGCAAAGAGGAAAGGTGTGGAAACACGCTGGCCATCAGCTGAGCTCAATCTCCCCCGCCAAGCTACAAGCTAGCTTTAGCCTGAACTCTGGTTTTTGTTTTCCTTCAGGCTCAGGAGGATCTGTGAGATTTACTCCAGAGTGCTGGGCTCAGAGGAGGCTCTCCACGTGAGTCCGGACACGCAGAACCACCAGCAGCAACACGACAGAACGGCTAACCCTCTTCTCACACGGCCTCTGGTGTCTTTCAGCCGGTGCACTACGAAGAGAAGAACTGGTGTGAGGAGGAATACTCCGGCGGCTGCTACACAGCTTACTTTCCTCCTGGAACCCTGACCCAGTTTGGCAGGCGAGTTATCCGCAGCCCACGCGCTTCTTGTTGCAGATGTTGAGTTTTCAAACCGAGGTGCTGCGCAGGGTTAAAGGCTGAAGAGCGAAGTGGGTCCAGGTTCAGTTCTGGTTCACAGGAAGGTTTCCTTCTTACTTGTCATTCAGTTCAATTCAAATTCAAAAATACTTTATTAATCCCAAAGGGGGAAATTAAGTATTAAATTAAGTAAATCTAATATGTTAGCTAGATGTAGTACAGTTAAAGTTACTTCAATTTATTTAATAAAGTAAAATCTTACTTGTGTTGGTTGATAAATTGTCCCAGTAATTATTGCAATAAATGATAATATTGTTGTCTTGAGACCATTTTCAAGTAATATATTGATAATGGCATAATAATAATAATAATAATAATAATAATAATAATAATAATAATAAATCAAGTTTTCTCTCTCAGAGTTTAATAAACTTTCATTTATAAATAAAACTTAACACTGGAACTGGTAGGTTCCAAATTAAACATGGCTACCAAAAATAACAAACAAAATGTAAATTTAAAAAACCCACTTACAACCTAAACTGTAAATAAAATGAAGTGTCTAAACAAGTTTACCCTGGAAAAAAAACAATCATTAGAATAGAAATTAATGAACTCAATTTAATTTATCAAGCAATTAATTCATTACAAAAGTATACTAACTTAATATTTCTTACATTTTTAAATTTATAAAAAGTTTTCTGCTACCAGCTCTTTTTAAGTTGACCAAAATATACATCCAAGAACTCTCATCCTACAAACTACTAAAAGGAAGTAGTTCTCATTTCGTCGTCTGAGGATTTTACGCTGTTTCCTTCGGTGGTTCTTGGTGCAGCGCCACCACAGGCGAGGAGGGGAACCGGTTTTTCACAGGGTTTGGCTGGTTTGACTCTGCATTGTGAAGAAGAGCTGCAGCAACTGAAAATGTTAACAAATGTCGCAACTTTGGTCCCAGATTTAACCGAGTCTCCTGGACTGTCAGGTGTGAAAACATTCTTAGTTTTAATGTACTTAGTGTTAGACTTTTCTTTATGCTTTGCATTATAAGCCAAGTATATTTCACTATGCTACTCTTAAGCATATAAAACACAGCTTGTAAAAAGTGAACTTCAAGCACACTGCATAAAATAAATCCAGCTGAATATATCACTTGTTGCTAAGGGGGATTTCAGGATGAGATCAACAGATGTAAGACATCAGGAACTGGAGTTACTTATTCTAATGAACATCTAAAGCAGTCACAATAAATCCAGCACATTTCCCACAACATTAGCGTGTTCCAGCAACACTAGGGAGCTTTCCAGTGGCATAAAAGTGTAGAAATAAAAAGAAGATGGAGGCTAACGCTATCAATCAAAGCACAAATACGTAAAATAACTCCTCCTTCGTGTTCTCTGTCGCTTCCTGTCTGCAGGGTTCTGAGGGAGCCTGTTGGCAGGTTGTACTTCGCCGGCACGGAGACGGCGTCAGAGTGGAGTGGCTACATGGAGGGGGCGGTGCAGGCTGGGGAGAGGGCCGCAAGAGAGGTCAGAGAACGCTCTGCATCTTTTACAGCCTCCCCCCCCACCAACGCATTTATGACCACAAAGACATAGCAACAAAAAAACACTTCACTATTTGGTAGAAGTAAGAGGGAAGTTTCACTTTCCAGCATTCTTATCGCTCCAAACATTCGGCCAGTGCTACAGTAGACGAGCTAACATCACCTCCTCCCTGAGCTTCTATTGGCGCCCGAAGAAATGCACAGCTCCTGGTCAAAAACAACCAATCAGAGCCAGGGGGAGGGTCTGAGCGCTGTCAATCAATGCTGCAACTTACCAACACAGGAATACTATTTATCCATCATCATCAGTGGCTATGCTAAGCTAACTAGTCTTAGCATTCATGGCAGGCTATGTTGGGGTGCACCGGCTGCAGTGTAGCATATAGAGCAAGTGAGCACGAGAGTGATTGACAGCGCTAAGACCCACCCCCTGACTCTGATTGGTGTATTTCTTACTACTGGGAGGACTGGGAGAAGGCAGAGGAGCTCAGGTTTTTTTATCTGTCTCACACTGTCACAATGTAATGATTATTTTAACAAATATGTAAAAACATCTTTTTTTCCACGTGAGTTACATCCTGCAGCTGTAAGTCTGGCTTTAGTCTGAAAGTCGACTTGAGTCTTTGACTCCCCTCGTCTGCTGTAGAATCCATAAAACACCATAAACTCGTCTTTATCATGTCACGACCCGCTGCTCTCACAGGTCTTGTGTGCGATGGGTAAAATCCACCAGAGTCAGATCCACCAGCCAGAGCCTGAGAGTCAGGTGAGGGTTGTTTTCACGTCTCGTCTTCCAGCAGACGCCGCTCAGCCAGCCGTAACGTCCGTCTCTTCCCCCCTGCAGGAAGTTCCTGCCCTGCCATTCGTCACCAGCTTCTGGGAGAGGAATCTGCCTTCGGTCGGAGGTTTCCTCAAGCTCACGGGCGTCTCCGCCGTCCTGTCGGCCGCCGCCGCAGCGGGCCTGGTGGCCTACAAAAAGGGCCTCTTCCCCAGGAGTTAAACTGCCTACACCTCGTCTTCTCACTCGTCTGAAACTCAACGGGACACGACTCAATAGAAACCGTATTCATGCACTTCTGGGGTTTTTTTTTGTTTGTTTTTTTTGTATTCTTTATTGGGGGATTTTGAAACGCCAGGCGATGAAAGGCAAACTCTCCAAATGAAGCAAAATCAGATTCACTTCGAGTGCAAAGAGTGAGCCGTTGTTTAGTCTTAGAGAGAAGAAGAGCTAACTGTTTAATTAGCACTTAATTTGTATCTCAGATTACTAAATGAAGGAAAAACAATCTGGAATCAAAATAAATATCCTCTACTAATGTTCCACACATCATTCATCCTTTTCGTGTGTGTGTGTGTGTGTGTGTGTGTGTGTGTGGGTGTGTGTGTGTGTGTGTGTGTGTGTGTAAGCTCTGTCCGTTTGCATGTGCACCTGATTTGGTAATTCTGCCTTTGTGAGTGTCTGTTCGTTGAAATGTGTGTTAGCATTTCTGTGTGTGTGTGTGTGTGTGTGTGTGTGTGTGTGTGCGTGCGTGCGTGCGTGTGTGTGTGTTTCTATTGTCTCTAATTACCTCTGCTGATTTTAGGTGCTGGTTCATTCTGACCTTTCTTGCTTAATGAGATCCAGTAACACTGAAAGTGAGTAGGGCTGTGCCATCATCAGTTCTAATAACATAGAGGACAATCAAGATTAAGGCTGTTCTTTTTTTTGTCATTTTGTGACCTGAATGTTTAATTAAAACGTGAAGAAAAGAAAAATAAAACAGCAGCTCTGTGACGTAGTGTGTCTCTTTGAGCCATTCTTGCTGCTGCTGAACGTTTTTATTTGAGGTTTTGCGCTAATCGGTCTTCAGTATTTACCGTCTCCAGGTAATGTTAGCTAAACAGAAGGGTATTCTCAAGTTCAATGTTTGATTTATGTCATAAAAATTTAATTGTATATGTAAGAGAAGTTGCTCTGACAAAGTTTATAGAATTTTCCTGGAGGATGTGACGAGACAAAATTTATGTTTTGTTTTTTTTTAATCTAAAGGAAGCAAATCTAAAGTAACCATTCATTTATTGCCTAAACTCACGTACATCCATGGCAGTTATTGAGGCTGTTGGTGTAGATAGTGGGGAAGTGGGGTTGTTACGGGGTGTAAAGAGCTGTGGTCACTCTATGGTTAAATTCCTACGGCTAAGTTTTGGAAATGTGTGAAAATCCAGAGCCATTTTTCACTCGAGTTGCAATTAATGAACAACTTATGTGTTCAGCTCCACACCGCAGAGATAGCTAGGAAACAACTGGCTAGCTGTAGCTGCCTGTGGCTAATTAATTCATTAACTGTAGCTAGTTTTAAGTTGTACGATGTCCCTATCTGGAGCAAATTAAGCTAGTTAGCTGTTGCATGTTATTTGTAGCTAACTGTGGACAATAAATTGTAAGGCTAGCTGTGGCTACCTAGCTGTAGCTATCTTTGGTTGATAATTTTTAAAGCTAACTGTGGACTTTGGGCTGTATATAGCCAGAGTAAACCGACTGTCAAAACTTGTGGCTATTAAAAAGGCAAAGCTGGCTGTGTTCTGTTGGCTGTAACCATTTGTAGCTAATAAATTATAAAGCTAGCTCTGAGTTATGAGCGCTCCCTAGCTAAATATGTTATAGTGATAACTGTGTATTCAAACAGTTTTCTTGAACATCCTGCGATAGTTTTCATTTTCACTATTATACGCTGAACTCCTGGTATATTCCCCGACGTTAAGAGGGCACAGGTGTCCATGATTAGCTAAAATCCACAAATACTCACAAAAATGCTTAGAACTGCATAATTTAGTAATTCACATACCAAATATACATAAATAAGCATCAGTGAGCACCGTGGAAATTGTCTGCAGTGGGTATCATACAGCCTTGCTTTTTTGCACTCTTAAAATTTTATACAGTCAATCAGCGCCAAGAAAAATGAATGCAGCTTCTGGATTGGCTGCTTTGCAAACACCAGTCAACTAGTATTATGTTATTCCAGCCTCCCAAGGTGTGTTTTCTTTTAGCTAGAATATTTTAGAGATGAACTACCAAAACATACAGTGAACAGGTACATCTGCAAATTGTGAACAATGAATGGGCTCCACTGTAACTGAAATTTTTATTGGAGATGGAAAAATCCTGGTAGTCACCCAAAGTTTGCCAACACCTAGCATTAACCAAAACAGTAATTTTAGTGTTGGTTTAAACTAAAAAGCTGCAAGCAGAATGCAGTTAATTTTCTCCCCCTTTTCAATTATCTTATCAGATCTTATGTGAAAATTTTCAATTGCAAATCTGCAGTAAAGCTTCAACTTTGTGGTAAGAACTGCATTATTTTAAACCTAAGATATATAAACCTAAAGATATTTTATTGATTTAAGACTGAATTAAAAATAACAAAATACAGGGTGGGGTTTCCTAAGGAAAGTCACAGTAGCAGAATCCGATCTGTTGAGGAGAACTTGTGTCGGCCGTGTTAAGAGAACTGTACAGTGTGTGGCTACAGTGAGGATCGTGTTCTTGTTCCAAAGACTGGTGTTTGTGACTGTGGTTGTGTCTGTTGTGCCTTAATGGACGTCTTGGTGTTTTGTCATTTTTCTCAAGTGCCTGTGTAACTCTGACTGTTTCGACTAGCTTTCCCCACACACTGTTAAAGCTAACGCCCACCAGGTCGCTGCCTCGAGGCATCTTCAGTGACGCTCAGCTCAAAATTTGATTTTTAAATGCCCCCTGTGTTGCCTGAGTTCTACCCTCATAATAAACTTGACTCAGGTAAAGCCAGGCGTATGAAGTAGCACTCTGACTGTTGGTGTGATCTTAACTTGTCTCCAGTGGAACCGAGTCCGTGTGTGCTTTGTATTGTGATTGCAGTGCTTCACCATGTGTCCCCTCCGCCATGTTGTAGCGTCCTCGTCTCTTCATGGTCGCCTCCTGTCTCACATCCGACCACCAGTAGAGGTTTTCCAACCATAGTGTTGAGCTGCGTATCCATCGCTAACGTGCGAAAAAATTTGTCGATATACAGCTAATGTCGAAAAAAAAACAATTTAGCAATTGGGTTGTTTCTGTAAAATAAAAAAATAAAAAACGCAATTAAAATCACAAGTGAATAGGTTTGTCCACGCGATAAGTCATCAGAGATCACAATGCCATGATAGTCCAAACATTGCAGTTTTGCGAAATAAACCAATTTTGATGCGACCGAAAGAAACCAACTTCATGCTAGCGCCAAAACGTTTTAACGAAAAATGAGAGCTTTTCCAAATTTGCCACGTTTCCATTAAGCAACTTTATGTTTAAAATGTCAAATTGTGCAAATGGAAATGCAGCTAGTGACGTTGCTCACATTTAAACCCATCTTGTTTACAGTCGGCTGATGTTGGTGAACAAACGCCAGCACTCTCTGTAGGTCTGTCATTTGAGAACTACATCACCGACACCAAACCATCAGCAAACATAACCTACATGGTCAAGTCCTTGTTGATTTCTTTCTTTTTTTACTGATTGTTTTTCTTCTTCACCTGATGTGCACACGAACCTCCCCAAACTAATCCTGTAACCCGTTCTTTGATGTCTTTGATTCCTCAAAGCAAGCTGGTGATATTCAAAATGTGAAATAAATCCCAATTTCATCTGATCCTATCCGTCTGTGTGTGTTATTGTGAGCTTTGTACATGGTCAGCATTGGTCTTGCTGCAGTTTTTAGGGAGTGCATGAAAAGTTTGGAGTAGTAAGAAAAAGTCAGGCGTGAACGGAAAGAGCCCCCTACTCTAGGAAAACTTTCCATTGTATAATAAGATCAGGTTGTTCTTTTTATTGATTATTATTAATATATTGATAGATACGGTACAAAACCATGTATGGTAATAAAATTTGAATGAATGCGTGTGACGTATTCTTTCTGACCGGCCATAAACGTGGAGTGAAACGTCCGAAGGGTGAGGCAGGAAGTACCGCGCCTCATTGATAGGGGGCAGTGCTGAGTCCAATAGACGCAAAAGGCGCTCTTCTTTCGACGCATTGAAAAGACTGGAAACAATCTGGAAAATAGAGAAAAGTCGTTTCGTCTCTGAATCCCGGATTTTTAAGACTTAAAGGAAGATGAGGCAGAAACAAGGACGTTTTGATCAAAGAAAAAGATAGGTGCATGAATTTCATGCAACAATACAGGTAAGATCGTACACGATTTGAAATTTTAATCTGAAAAGAGGGAGGCCAGCCTAAGTAAACATTTAAATTTTAATAAATTAAATGTGACCTAATGTTCTTGCTATCATAGTGGTGAATTCTATGAGCTAGATAAGGTCAAAACTGAAATATAAACGTCTGTATTGGATTTTGGATTTTTTTATCTGCAAGTTCTGAGCATTTACTGTCGGAATTGTAAAAAAACCTGAAAGTCATAGACTATAGTGAGAAGGACACTCGGACATTACTGACCATATCTGATTACTTTTTTATTTTATTTACGTATGTATGTATTTATTGACAAGTTGAGAGATGTTCTTTGACTTCTCAAAGACATATTTTTAAAAAGTTTGCATTTGCAAAAAAAAAAAAAACGGTAATATTTTGTTGGATCTTAAAAATGAAAAAAAGAAGGAATGGCAGTGAGTCAAAAAATATGATCATGCATTTAATTGCAAACAACCATAACAGTAAAAAGTTCTTGGTTTACCGACCAATCAGATTCACTGATTGATTCATTAAAATTTTGTGGTCTATGTTCTGAACAGCATGTTGTTTGATTTATTAATTTTTTTTTTAAAAGAAAACAACAAATTTCTATGTTTCTAAACCATGCCGAGGAAGTCAGGGGGCAGTTTATGATGGTTGAAATAAATTTACTGAAAAATAGATTAAAATGACAAAGTATCAAAAAAAGGAAAAGTAAAGAAAATGAAAATATACAGGTAACTTTTCAATGTGGATGAAATGATTGTCCAAGACTAAACTCTACTGAGAGTCCACTTAGACAGGATGAAGGGAAGTGAGGAATCTTAAACGCAAAGTTGAATTTTAAAGATCCAGAGCTCGGTGACACGACCACAGCAAAAGGTGCAGCGTGACCTCAAAGATAACAGAGAAAAAGAAGAACGCTGGCATTGGTCAGAGATGTCAGACATTAACTGCAGCCATGTTTCCTGATCCCTGTGAGACCAAACACAGAGCAGCTTATCTCTGTCAGACCAGTCTGATGTTCTCAGTGTGTGTCGGCGACTTCTGCTGTGACCAGACGCTGTCCGTCATCTTTTATCGCCCCTGAATTTGCTCAACTTCCTGTTTGAGCTGCTAACCATTCAGGAAAACTCAACAATCGCAGTCAGTCTAACATCACAGCCAGACGATGCATCAGGAGGACATTCTAAGGGTTTCCAAAACTCTTTTTATTTATTGTGTCTTTCAGTGTAATTGCAATTCAATTAAGCTTATTTCACAACAAATGTCATCTCGAGGCACTTTAATAAAAAAATGTTTACAAAGTAATTTCAGTTCAGTCATAAACACATTCCAATTTGTCCCGTCGGGTTTCTGCAATGATTCTGTGGGGGGTTGAGGAGGCAGAGCAGAGACACAAACTAGAAACAGATGACATGATGCAGGAGTGCTTTATGTTAGTGAAAAGTAAAATGTTAATGGCAGCAGAGGGAGAACGATTCATTGATGACATCATCTCAGTCGAGGCCCTCCTCCAGGAAGGCACCGCAGTGAAAACAGAATGACAGACCAGATGTAGCTTCTGTGGAGAAAAAAAAAATGTAAAAAAATATAAAGCTAACAGTAAAATAACAGCAAATAATGCAAATTAGAGCACAGTAGAAGAAAAAAGTGAGGAAAAGTGGTCAGTTAGTCCTCCAGAAGCCTAGCCAGCTATCTTGTTTGTTATTTCGCCATCTATCTTGCTAGCTATTTTGCTAGTTATCTTTTTTTGGTATCTTGATTATCTTATTTGTTTTTTGCCATCTATCTCGCTGGCTAACTTGTTAGCTCTTTTGCTGCACATCGTGTTTGTTATCTTGGTAGCTATCTTGATTATTTTGTTTATTTTGCTATCTATCTTGCTGACTATCTTGCTAGCTATTTTGTTAGTTATCTTTTTGCTATCTTGCTATCTTATTTGCTAGAAATATGGATAGACGGATAGATGGATGGATGGATGCAGACCCAGGCTGTATTGTTTGAGTCCACTAGGGGGCAGATGATAACTGCTACAACAAACATAAGTCTGGTCATCCATGTACACATAGTAGCTCTCATTGCACTCATGTTTATTACCACACACACACACACACACACACACACACACACACACACACACACACACACACATACTGACACGGAGGAGGGAAGCTGTCACATTAATCCTGGGCCGGGGTTGGTCATGTTTTGTCTCAGGGCTGATTCTGCTGGTTGACATATGGCACTCATGTTGTTCTCATCACTCTGCGTGTGAGCAGTGATAGCCAGAGGCCCGTCCAATCCCAGCCCAGCACACCAGGCTTAGTCACTGTAAACACTTCCCAATCCCACGCTCCCAGGCTGTGACAGCGCGCTCGCCAGGCTTCAGCAGAGGTTGCATAACCGCAGCGTGAGCAGCAGCAGCAGCAGCCTCATGGGTTGCTGCTGGGATTGCCTTCCCTCCTCCCCATCATTTGACACAGGTGTCAACTGACATGCATGCAGATGCGTACGCATGCACAGATGAACACACACACATCGTGAGTTCGGATCCAGTGCAGTTCCTGTTTTTGTTGGGCTGCAGCTCTGGCCCCAGTGCAGCTCGCTGCGATATATGAAACCCGACTCTGTCAATTTGCCTCCCAATCTGTCAGACGGCCGATTGGACTCACAGTCCTGAAGTGTGACCTAGAAACCACCGGCTCGGAAAAACAAAAAAAAAATCACCACAACTACTTAGCAATGTAATCAGCTGCAATTTTTCAATAAATGTCCCTGCTCCAACATGAGAGTTTTGTTTTTTTTCTCCAGGATGTGATCAGAATCCGTTTCTGGGCTGCTGAGGGGAAACAAGGTGAACCGTTCAACTG